AAGAGGACTTACTCGAAAGAATATTGATGTATCGAAAGCAAAAGAATGCACCGTCGGAAAGGAGTGACGTACGTGGTTCTTCTGAAACATCTACTGGCCCCACGGTTAATTCTAAAAGACCTCACCGAGGGGGCATTCTGTTACAACTACCGGAAACATTGGATTATTGTAAACAGTTGGTATACCGGGTATTCCAAACATTCACGGATGAAAACTGTCAAAAACCGGGCGCTCGTTGCTATACCGATTTGCTTATCTGTTTACACATGACAAATTACTACACCGAATTGGGAGATATTCTCGTCAAAGAGTTAGATCAATGGGTTCCTCCATTGCTTGTCGGTTTGGAAAGTTGTTATTCGTCCGTGCGTGAAGACACCTGTTGTATTCTGGCCTATTTAGTTTGCTCCTACCGTTTGATCACCAGACTTCATGTAGTGAGCAAAAATCTACTGGTCGCCAATATCAGTTTTGCCATTCTGTCCGCAATCGGTCATTACCCGGAAAGCTACGCATTCTATCATGGTCTGTTAGGTTACATGTTACACGCTCTGCCTTGTATCTCCACATTGGACTGTCTGCTGCTGTGGTTACCCTCGGTTCAGAACAACGAGAACAATTTGGTGGCACGCGATTGGAGTCTGTACGTGTACTATGTGTTTCGACATTGGCCCCGAAATCCGTTCTATCTGGATGCGATCTATCAGAAAAAACTACTTCGACCATTGGAGACAAGCTATCTGACCAAGCATGCCAAACGGACCGCCCGACTTGCACTGAGCTATCTAGTTCGCACGTGTAATGTGCGCAGTGCACTGCTCATCTGTTGGCCGGAAAACGATGATGACGTTCCACTAAGTTGATGAGCTCCGATCTGGTTGGTGCATGTGAAGCGTTGTGCAGATTGGTGTTTTTAAGGTCAGCTGTACCATGACAGTTGCTTGATTAGTTAAGAACAACGACCAACACAAAAAAGCAACGCACATGAAATAGACAGCCTCACTGAGATCACATCGAATGACTACACTAAAAAATACATAGAGATACAAGAAAAATCAACGGCGCATCAGTCATGTATGTGGTCTATATACATTGTAACACAAGTAGTCAAATACTATCAGTTTGACTGTCAGTGTACAACAAATTGGTGAATAAATTCTGTTATGTGTGCCCATATTTTCCTTCTAGACGTCATTTTCATCATCATCATCATCCGAGTCATCATGATCATCTTGAAGAGCTTTGCATTTAGCTGGACATACCACTGCTATTTTCTGGGTTAAGATCACCTCCTTTGTGACTACGAGATTTTAGTTTTAATTTTGTAACATTTAGAGTAGCTTTCAAAAACAATTGGTATTGACAGGTTTATGGTTGTATCAAGTGAGAGGGGGAATTGATTTCTGCTCATTCATCCCACAGAAACCGGTGGTTTGTTTCACCGAGCATTGTGAATAATCGTAAAAGGGATTCCCGATTGTCGTTCATTAGAGTTAGTTTGACTTCTGTATCCAATTTCCTCGTTTATCCCAGTTTCCGGAAACCTTGACCAACGATGAATCTATGCAGTATCGTCTAGGTGTCTGAGTAGTATTTTCCCGCGCGCGCGTACAAAGCAGTCTGTTATCATCAATGTCTGTCGTGTCTCAGAGATGCTCACTCAAAGAGCTAGTAGCCCCGGGGAGAGGTCATTGTCTTCAGGATAACTCATCCAAACTTCAGTTGATGCTAAAGCTCACACACACGGATTTACTGCACGTCCGACGATATACAAAAGGAAGATTGTAATAAGAAAACAAAAGTCATTCAAGTGAGCTGTTGTGACATTATCACAGTCGTGTTCGCAGTTCGCAACATCACGCAGATCAGCAGCCTATTTGTGGGATATTGTGCTTCACTCGCTCTCTCTGTCTCTGCAAGAACGGTGAACGACCGATTCCCTAGTAAAATGATCCACTCATTCTGTGCAATGTAGTAAGGATTTTTCAATTGAGCATGCTAGCTGATCTAAATGGGTAATTGTGATGTGTGACACTGACCTCGAAATTCATTGTACGCTTTAAATGCATTGAATATGCGTAGTATACGATTCGAATAAAGTTCAAGTGCTATTCCATTCGAATTTGTTCTATTTCGGGGATTGGTATTGCGCGAATTCTGGAATCCCATTTTAAATACTATTCCAAATACTATAGTAATGCTGAACAAAGCGACAGCTGGCTGAGCGCATGGTAAAATTACAAATCCCCCCGGGATCATTGACGTCTAAAGGGCAACACACACACCGCTTGCTTCTGAGGTGGTCATTACGTGGGTGCACCAGTCGCGTGCAAAATACTCAACCTTCTTCAATCTAAGTTAGCCTATCCGAAGTTGCGCTTCACACCATCCATCTACAGGGCGAAGTTATAGAACAAATCACTGATTTATATTAGAAAGACATAAAATAAATGTAAGTGAAAATTGGGTTCGGGACAGAAGCGACAGTCTCAGATTCAGACTGTTCAAAACCAAGAAAGACATTGATAGTGTTTGCAAACGTCAATTCACGCCAAAAAAAAACAATTGAGACGGTAGGTAAAACGTGAGTTGTTAAATGCACTGAAGATAGGGTCATTGGAGGATCGTTACAACTCAAAGTTAATCTCCCTCCATTCATCTTGTCTGTTTTTTTCAACTGTATCGTGTTAAGAAAGCACACTGTCCAGTGCATACGCCACAAATAGAACTGGAACTCTTCTCAGGCAGTTTACAATCTTCGTCTGATTGGATTCTCTAACTTCACGCTAACACTGCTTCCAATATTCCAATCTTGTCTCCACTCCTCCACTCAATCGGGTAACTGAAAGACAGCGGCGAAAATCCCCAGTTGGGATTGCGTGGTTAGCTACCTAAGTAAAATCTTAGTAATACAATAAAACAGTTATATTATGGAGAAATTTCATTCTCTATATTTGGCATCAAGAGTTAACTTGTGATAACGAATAATGAGCTTTTTTAACTTTTGTTCTATTTATTTTGTTGCACTAAACTTACCGCTAAACTAGAGCCTAGTAATTTAGTAGTTAATTGCTGTGGGGTCGGTTCACACCTGTCGAGCGCCACCGTAAATCAAATCGCACTTTCACATGGTGCGCATTAATTTCCCATGCTTGCGAGAATGAGTCGTCAAAAATATTCACCTTAGTGGTCGGGCCCGAAAAAGTCAGATCAGCTGTGCCTTTTTTGTCAGAGGTTTGTGCACAGCATGCTACAGAGAACGGTAGTACAGAGCTGAAATATCGATTAATCGAGCTAAAAATGTACGCACTGTACCTGCCTCAGAATAATGTCCAGTGGGATAGAAAAACTAGAACGAGTTTTCCGAAAGGTAAAACACTCTGTTCCACCTAAAGCAGGTACTATCTCATGCAACTACCCATCTGTGCAGATCCTTGTTGTCTGGTGCCGGTTTTATCAATCAGAATGACAGTCAAACCTTGACAGGCGCTTCCCCAAGGTTACGGAACCCGAAAAGGGGTTGATTGGTGTGTTTAAGGTAAACGATCCTCTAAGCACATTCTCACTCAGACCAACAAGCTGACGCACACTGGACCACGCTCTCGTGGAACTGTTAGTACAAGTAGGCACACAAACACATCACCTGGGACCACGGGGAACACCCATGATGACCTATAATTGACCTCTGTGCCCATATATTGGTGACTCTGCATACCCTCTTGAAAAAAATCATCCTAACTGGTCGAAACGTTGCGCAGTAAAACGTTGTGTTTCATTCACGAGCTATTACGATTTTCGGGAAATGTTAAACATGACTTGTAAGTTCTCAGGGCATGCACAGTGGTACCAGATATTATAAAAGATTGTCAGATAAACAGAACAAAAGAATGTGAAACATCCTTCTCCCTTTATCCATTTCGTCAACAACAGAAGACATACAGCTGAATGAGAGCACGCGAAATTGATGGCCAATATCAGTTATGCCCACATATGTTTTCTGATGTTGATGAGAACAAAAGAAATCGTAATTTTTAACTCAGAGTACACAGCTATGTATGCACTTCAACTACTGTTTAAAAGTCAGTAGCTTATTCCGAATCAGTAAAATTCAAACAAATAAGAGGTGTGCATTCAAACGAGTAAACTTTCCACACGGTTAACGAAATACCATGGAATGAAAAAGGAATGCATGAGTAGAACTTTAATGGACAAGTAATACCAAATAAACACCTCAGGCTTTTGTGATAGAGTTATCTTTTAATGTATCGTTTATTACCCTCAAACTGATGCACGTTTCACTGCCCACCAACTGGCCATCACATTGATAGCCTTTCAGGTATACAAACTTCTTTTTTTTACTTAAAGGTAACGAAAGCATTGGTTCAATGAACTCTTCCCCTCATATCTTTATCAATGGAGAACAAGTTTCTAGAGAAGGTTGAATCAAATACATCCAAGTTACCACCTCTCGTAATCTTTCTTGATCTGTTCATGTCTTCGATTTCGAGGGTATAGGGACGGATACCCGTGTAAGCCCCGTCATCACCGGGTTGAAGGTCCCATCACACGTGGTCATCTTTCCATAGCCTACAAGAGCCTACTTCAATTATCTCCCTACGCTCTCCTGATCCAACCTCACGCTTCATCCTTCGTGTGTCAGGTGATTCGGCATCCGAATCTCGAGATGTTGCTGGTGTCTGAATTGCACTAAGTGCCACGGCTGAACGCTCGCTTCTTCACTGGATTCAGGTCAGTAGTCGACAGTGAGCTCAATGGGCTCATCACCGATTAACATCTACAGAGCAAAGCGTCGATGCTTATTCGTCATATCCGCGTACGCAACGACCGATTGCAGTACACCTGAAATCATGGATGAAGTCTACAAGGACCTTTCTCGATTGCTCCAAAGCGTTCGCTCAACGGACATCGTGGTAATTGCCGGAGACTTCGATGCTCCCTGAACGAATCAGAAAGTTTTCTTGGCGGACCACATGCAATCCCAGCCAACCGGATGGACAAAGGCGATCGTCAAATTCGACTCCGCGTGGATCACGGATTGTTCCCGTCAAGCACCAACTTTCCGCACAAGAAACGAAACCGCCTTACATGGAAACCGTCAACCTCTTGACAGCACTGAATCCAAATCGATCACATAGCCATCAATTACCGCTGGAGTGGGTCGATTCAAGACTTTTGTTCTTACTGATCCACACCTGTGGGTACGGAACATGCTTTGCTACGAGCCTAATTATCCTTACGCCTGGCAAACACCTGTAATAACGCCACCGACAATGGATACCCACGATCCAAAATCAGCGATTGTTGCAAATCGGCCCTCGAAGCGAAGCTCCGATCGCCTGTCAGTTCAACCATCAGCCGAAAGACTCAATGAACACTGGAAGCAAATCAAGGAAGCTATGTAAATATCAATAAAACAATGTCGGACCCTCGCGAAAGCTCTAAAAGCAAACAATGGATCTCATCGACCTCGGCCCTGTTAGACACCCGCAAAACACTTCCTCCTTATGCCACATATGATACAGCACACGAATCCTTCAAACGCCAGCTCATCAAGAGTCTGAGGAATGACCGCGAGAAGTGGTGGTTTAAAAAGTGTAAAGATATGGAGAAAGCTGCGGCTATTGTTAATAATTGTAATCTTTTCCGTCTGATTGGGAATGCGGGCATCTGACCTATCACCCTCCCACCTCGATTGGGAAAATACTTCCAGTTGATGCCATTCCTCCATCTGAAATAGAGGTTTCCCGGGAAATAAGTTATGTCAAAATGCATAAGACTTCCGGCCCAGATGGGCTATTCCCATCGGCTTTTAAAGATGGTGGTTCAGCCTTGGTTTTGAATT